TGCCACTAGACGCGCGCGAGATCCTGGAGAAGGAGCGGCTGGAGCGATCGGATATTAGGCTACAACATGTGCTCGAGCTAAAGGTGCACGGAAGCAGATACGCCGTACAGGTCCGGGCAACAAGGCGCATGCGGCTGAACCCACTCTCAGGCCACACGCAGCGTATGTTTTCGCTGACAGGATATGGCACCGGCGATTGGCTGACCGCGATCCCCATTGAACCCACGAGACGGATAGGCCCCGTACACTTCGCCAACACCGTCCGTTTCCGCCTGGCCCTCCCCTTCTCAACCCCTAAGAACTGCGACTGCGCGGACAAGACCGCTATCACTGATCCCCGCCTGCCGAACCATCTCCTCCGCTGCGGCTTGGGCAGACACCGCATCAACACCCACAACGAGCTACGGGATGCGTGCATTAGCATGGCACAGCACGCAGGTTTCATTGTTCACGGCGAGTCGGCCGTCCATTGCCCTATCGAGGAACAAACCGCCGACTTTACCTTGACAGATAGAAGCAGTGGGGCGGTTTATGTCTGTGATGTCACCATCACGGACCCCATAAGCACGAGGGACCCAGAGGCGCAGAAAGGCAGGGGATGGGCGGCACGGGAACAAGCGGATAAGAAAATCCAGCATTACGCCAACCGGCCGGAGACGGTTGGCTTTTTCCCTTTAGCAGTCGACACCTATGGCTGCCCATGCGCGGAAGTACCAACCTTCCTGAAGCTACTTGCAGACACGGCGGCTCGGCGCCACTTCAACGCCGACTCTAAATCGTTTTATGCCGCCAAGTTCCTGCACCAGTTTCGGCAGCGCTGGTCAGTGGCCCTTCAGAGGGCCCAATCAGTGGGTCTTCTACTCAAGTTGGGCGAGGCGGCAGCAGCAGAGAACCCGCCTGTAGGGGGTATTGGTCAAGAATTACACCTAGGGGACTGTTTTGCGGTGGTAGAGCCCTTCTTGGAGCTCTAGGGGAATAGTGAGTAAGAATTGGTGCTTTGTTTGTTACATCCATACACTGCATGCTTGTACCTTGCTGCTATATCAATACAAGGACCATTAGAGAGAGAGAGAGAGAGAGAGAGAGAGAGAGAGAGAGAGAGAGAGAGAGAGAGAGAGAGAGAGAGAGAGAGAGAGAGACAGAGAGACACCTAGCCTGATGATTCCGAGGAAGAGGAAGGCGAGGCAAGGACGAGAGACAGATTGGGGAGAAGGGGACCAGGGAGAAGGGAAGCAGCTGGGGAGCAAACACACGGGCATAGGGCACGGGCGACACAAGCACCGTCCGATGCTGATCGGACGGGTGTGCTTCCAACCACATCCACCCCTGCACGAACGGGTTGCGTTCGGAGAAATCGGACCACGAATGCAGATCCTGCTACACACACAGCCGCCCCGACGCCCCGCTATTTTTCGCCTGACGAGTTGGCGAGGCGAGCTGACTTGTTCGCCTCTGTTGGGCATTGGGATATCGCAGCACTGTGCGACAGTCGTCAGCCCTCGCTGTCGCGTCGCTTGCCGCCAAATTTGGGCCAGCTGTTCTCGCTGGCGTTACTGACACCATTGCTACACCTCTCGCGAAACCCCGAGTCAGAGATGGGTTGGCGCCTTCTGTTATTTCTGCCACGACTAACACTTCGCCAAAGCTCGCCGCGTCATCCGAATTGGCTGAAAATCAAGGCTCGCCTCCGAGCCTTCCAGCGTGGCGAATGGGAGCAACTATACCAGGACGCGGTGGATGTAGTCAACGCGCCTTCTCCGCATCGGCACCAGCCGGACGCGACTGGTGTGATAAGCCGGGCCGAGGGCCTGGCGAAACGTGGCAGCCTGCGACGGGCCGTATTAGCGCTGGAGTCAACGCCCGTCTGTACCCCGAGCCCCAAAATCCTGGAGGAGTTGCGACTGAAGCACCCGTCTGCTGAACCGGGGGATGTGACGTGGCCCGCGCCGCAAGGGTCAACGCTTTCAATCCCGCATGCTGACTTCGCCAAAATGCTGGGCAGATGTGAGAATGGAGTTGGAGCCGGGCCGTCGGGCATGACATTTGAGCATCTGCGCGACGCGGCAATCACAAATGCACTGGTCCGCACCCACCTGCACGCCTTAGTAAACACCATCCTGGGAGGGAATTTGCCAGACACGGTGGCAAACCTCCTCACCGCGTCGCGACTGATCGCCTTGGCCAAACCTGGGGGAGGGGCTCGGCCTATCGCGATAGGCGAATGCCTGACGAGGCTGACTGCCAAGGCGGCCCTGTCAGCAATGGGAGAAGCAGCCCGCGGCTTCTTCCTGCCCCTACAGTACGGGGTGGCCGTGCCAGGTGGAGCCGAAACAGTGATTCACGCGTCCCGAGCCTACTTGGACGCCCACCCCACTAGCCTCGTGCTGCAAGCAGACATTGCGAACGCGGTCAACAGCATTTCGCGTCATGCCATTGCGTCAGCGTTACAACACCCCGCCCTCTCGCCACTACTGCCATTCGTCAAACTCACCTACGGTAACCCGTCGCAGCTGCTCCTGGATGTCAATTTCAATTCCGAACCCCTACGGAGCGAACGCGGTGTCCGCCAGGGAGACCCATTGGGTCCATTACTGTTCGCGGCTGGGATGCACGCCACACTTCGTGACACCGCCGCCACGCACCCGAACGTGCTTTGTCTGGCCTACGCAGATGATGTCACGTTCATCGGGAACGTGGCTGACACTGTAGCGGCATTCAACTCCTTCACATCCACCTTGACTCAACTGGGGCTGTCCCATAATCCACGTAAGTGTGCAGCCTGGAGCAGCGCAGCAGCTGACATCGACCAACTCCCGCGGGGAGTTCCTTTCTCCAGGGACGGCGTGCATCTGCTGGGGAGTTTCGTGGGCCCCGATGGCGGGGCGGCGCAGTTTCTGTCAGGACAGCTACAAGAGATGGCGAAACCACTCCCGCTCCTGGAGAAAGCTGATCCCCAGGTCGCGTCACTTCTGCTCACCCGCTGTATCTCGAGGCGGGTGGCATACCTCACCAGGACTACGCCGCTGCGCTTACTGAACCGCGATACCTGGAGCCAGTGGGGGATGGACTTGCTTACGACATTGCTAACAGCATGCGACATCCGTGTCCCAACCAGCCGCAATGAGCAAGCTCGCGTTTGGGCGCAAGCTTCACTGCCGCCATCGCTGGGGGGGGTTGGCATTACGGACCCCTTAATCGAAGGGGTGTACGGTTTCGCGGCGAGCTTCACACAGGCCGCCCTGTTCTTGGCATCCATAGAGTGTGCGCCGTCAAACTCGCTACCCCTGGCCAGAGACCACATGCTGCTGCCTGCCGACGTCAGCACTCCCCTCCACGCGTGGCTCGCCGAGTGTGAAGCCACGTTGCCCCTTGACGCACGGGAGCTCCTAGCGAAGGAGCGGCTGAAGTGGTCGGATGTGAGACTGCAGCATGCGCTGGCTTTGAAGGTACATGGGAGCAGATATGCCGTGCAGGTGCAGGAGACTCGACAGATGGAGCTGAATCCCTTGTGCGGACATACGCAGCGGATGTTTTCACTGACGGGGTACGGGACAGGGGACTGGTTGACGGCTATCCCTGTTGCGGCGAACAGGAGGATAGGGCCCATTCACTTCTCCAATGCCGTGCGTTTCCGGCTGGCCCTCCCCTTTTCTACGCCTAAAAACTGTGACTGCTCAGAACATACCGCTATCACAGACCCCCGCCTCCCTAACCACCTTCTCCGATGAGGCACGGGCAAACATCGTATCAACACGCACAATGAGCTGCGGGACGCATGCATTAGCATGGCCCAAGATGCGGGGTTCATAGTCCATAGCGAGACCACGGCATACTGCCCCATTGAGGAACAGACCGCGGACTTTACGATGACGGACAGAAGCAGTGGGGCTGTCTACGTGTGCGACGTCACCGTCACGGATCCCATCAGCACGAGAGACCCGGAGGCACAGAAGGGCAGGGCTGGGCGGCTAGGGAGCAGGCTGACAAGAAGATCCAGCACTACGCTGCCCGGCCAGAGACAGTGAATTTCTCCCCCCTAGCGGTGGATACCTACGGCTGTCCTTGCGCCGAGGTGCCTATTTTCCTAAAGCTATTGGCGGACACTGCAGCTCGGCGCCACTTCAACGCCGACTCCAAATCATTCTATGCTGCAAAGTTCCTACATCAGTTCAGGCAACGTTGGTCAGTGGCCCTCCAAAGGGCTCAGTCCGTGGGCCTCCTGCTGAAGCTAGGGGAGGCAGCGGCTGCAGAGAACCCGCCTGTGGGGGGAATTGGAGACGAGTTACACCTTGGGGACTGCTTTGCAGTCATTGAGCCCCTAGTGGAGCTGTAGAGGGAATTTGTGGTTTTTGTGGCTTGCTTGTTTGTTACCCAGAGCCTATAACTTGCATGCTTGTACCCTCTTGCTATATCAATACAAGGTCCATTAGAGAGAGAGAGAGGCACTAGGAGCTAGTCCTTAGCCTCTCTTAGCCTCTCTTAGCCTCCCTTAGCCTCTCTGGCCTATCCCAGTCCATCCCTCCTAGTATTTAAGCCTTTGCAGTGCTCCTTTCTCCCCATTGTTCTGGTTTGAGTTCATTCCTTCTCAAAAACCGGCGGCTCGCGCCGGCCGCCTTCGGCGGCCGACGCTCGACAGCGCGGCCTTCGGCCGCGCGCGTGGGGTGACAAGGACGAAACAGAAACGAGAATATCAAAAACACACCACAACATGCAGTAGGTACTACCACAACAACAACAGCTGCCGTGTGTCAACCCCATGGTCAGCACAATGGCGAGCACGCCGATGACCACTCCGGCGCCGCCAGTCAATCAGACAGCATCAGCAGCAAACGAGCCCCCATCCAGCGGAGCACTGACGCGGTCGCAGTGGGCAGCCCAAGGGCACTCTCCTGCTCCGCTTCTCGTGCTAACGAGCGAAGTGTCGCCGCTCCGGGGACGTCGTCCGCCCCGTCGAGCAGAGGGACCATTGGGAGGTGCAGCAGATCCCACAACACTGCAGATTACGCTCGGAACACCCGAACCTGCTGACGGCGGGACAGCATGGGATCCCGCTGTGGCGCCTCCCGCGCTTCCATCGCCCGATGCAGTTGCTCCAGCACGGTCGCCACGTGCCCAAGGGAGTCGGCGAACGCCCGCATCCGCGCCGCCACCCGCCCGCCGGGATCCACAAACGAACGAGCCTCAGTCTCCCACGCGGGCTCCCCTGGCCACCGCCGCGCCTGGAACTCCCGCCACGCCCCCCACCACTCTGGCTCCGGCTCTGGAGCGCCCAGCGGCGCTCGAGGCGGGCCAAAACCCGCGAAGACACAGCCAGGAGGACCGCCGACATCAAGCGGCGGAAGCGACTGCGGCACCTGCGAACGGGAACGGGAACGTGGGCGGCGAGGACGGAGAGAACGATACGGCCGAGCAGCAGCACAGGGCGAACGGTACACAGGATCCCGCCTCGCTGCCCGCCCGCCGCGCTGGCACGACGGCCTCACGGCGGAACGCCCGCCCTCAGCCAGCGCCGCTGCGGCTCGGAGCAACGCTGGGACGGAGCCAGCCGGGTCCCGTGCATGGCTGGCAGAACCAGACGCAGCAGCAGCCGTCAGCGCCTGCTGCAGCTGACCCCACACGGGCTCAGACATCCCCGCTGAACGGAGCTAGGGTGGCAGAAACAGCGACGGAAACGGCGGTGGCGACGGCGGACGGAGGAGAGCGGGAGGAGATCCCGCAGGAAACGCTCCGGGCGACCAGGAGCGCCACGATGCGTGGGGGGGTTAGGTGGGGACCACCAAGGCCGGTCCGCCAGACTGGCGTGAGAGCGCCGTGGGTCCCGGGAGGTGGAAGGAACCCCGCCACAAGGGGTCGGGGTATAGCGCGGGGAGGACGGGCACGGGGAGGACGGGTGGCGCGCGCAATACGAGATCCGCCACGACCGGCACGGGTGGGGACTTGGAGGGAGAGGCACGAGCGCCCAGAGATCACTCCCGAAGCGGAGGGAGATGCAGGGCTGGGAGTTACTGGGACTACGAGTGATGGAGGGGGGAATTATACCCCCTCAGGCACGCCTTCGAATGATACCAGCCCAGCGGGATCAGGCAACGAAGGTGGTGGTAACCACCAGGGGCGGAGAGGAGGGATAAGGAGAGGAACAAGAGGTGTGGGAAACCAACCAGCTACGGCCACGACAAACGCAGGCACGGCGGAGGAAGCAGGTCAAGGCACGGGTGGAGCGGCCACACAGCCAGCCACGGCCACGGCAACCCCCGCCTCGGCGACGGCGAGGCCACGCCAGCCATCGGATTTGGCAGGGGACGAAGCACTGTGGGGCCCAGTCGCAGCCTGGGAATTGACAGAGTTACATTCCTCAGGCCAACCCTTCCTCACGCGCTGGCTCCCAGCGAAGCTTCTAGAAGCCTTCACACTTTGCCTGCTTACGCCCTTGACTAGGCTGGCGAAACACCCGGAGTGCCCGAGGGTTGGAGAATGCTAACCCTATTACCCCGGTTGACACTCCGCCCGGCACCGACGAGCCAGGAGGGGAATCGGTGGATCGAAATTGCGGGGCGCTTGGCTAAGTTTCAGACTGGCGAGTGGGAGCAACTATTTACCGACGCAAAAAATCTGGACGGTGTAGAAACACCACAACGGCACGAACCGGATCCAACCGGGCTATGTGCCCGAGCAGAGAACTTGGTTCGCAAGGCGAACCTGAGCAAAGCGGTTGCGGCGTTACGAGCGACACCCCTCGCACCAGCGACATTCGCTACACTTGAGGCCCTACAGAACAAACACCCCCAGGCGACGGAGGCGTTACCCGAATGGGTAACGAGTGTGACCTCGTCCAACCTGGCGATCTCAACCGACACACTTCGCGAAGTGCTGATTCGGTGCCCTAATGGGGTTGGAGCTGGACCTTCAGGAATGTGTTTCGAACACCTACGGGAACCTGCACTAGCTAGTGAGGAAGTACTGGGCCTTCTGCTCACGGTCGTCAATCACCTCCTTAGCTCGACAGTAGCAGCGGGAGTACGGGAGGTGCTGCTACCATCACGATTCATCACCTTATCCAAACCCGACGGTGGTGTTCGACCGATCGCAATAGGCGAAACGATCCTACGCATAGCGGGAAAAGCTGCCTTACGAGCACTAGGCGCTCAGATCCGCGAGTTCTTCATCCCGGTGCAATTCGGAGTGGCAGTTCAGGGGGAGCAGAGTTCATCATCCACTCCGTCCGCGCCCTACGACAGCTGCAGCCAGCATCAACGATCCTACAGCTCGATATAGAAATGCGTTCAACTCAGTGAACCGCGCGAGCTTCTGTGACGCACTGAGATGGTCCAACATGCTTGAGCTGCTCCCGTTCGTATTGACGATGTACAGAACACCCTCACCATTGCTTCTAGACGCCAGCCTGGGAGGCCATTCCCTAACAAGCAGTCGTGGCGTCCGTCAAGGAGACCCGCTGGGGCCGTTGTTGTTCGCAGCAGCAATCCAGCCGTCCCTGGCACGCACGACATCTTCACACCCCGAAGTAACACTGCTGGCCTACGCCGACGACATCACACTGATCGGCCCCCGGGAAGCATCGGCCCGGGCATTCAACTTTCTCATAGCAGACCTGGAGCGGTGTGGGCTACGTTGCAACGTGGCGAAGTCCTGCTGCTGGAACGCGGACCCGCGGTCAGACACCCTGTTCCCGCCTGATCTGCCGCAGGCCCGCACGGGAGTGAAGATCCTGGGGAGCCCGGTGGGAACCACAGAGTTCTCCGCGGACTTCTTGCGGGGACAGCTCGAAGAGGCCGCGGAACCACTACCACTCCTATCCCAGCTCAACCCCCAGCACTCCCTGCTGCTGATAAGTCGCTGCATATCGAGGCGTGCGTCCTACCTCCTACGCACGACTCCAGCGAGCTCAGTCAGCCTAGCGACATGGCGGGAATGGAGCGAGGGGCTTCTGCGCACGGCCCTCTCAGCAGCAGCAATCAGGTGGCCGAGTCACGAACTACACCAGAGCCTGCTGTGGCGGCAGGCCGCACTACCTGTCAGCCTAGGGGGGCTGGGGATCATAGACCCCATATCAGAAGCACCAGCGGCCTTCTTAGCTTCAACTGCGGCGGCGACTGAACTACTGGCCTCGTTACCCCTCGAGCCAACCCACCCGCTGGCGGCAGTAAGGGCGGCCCTATCGCCAGAAGCTGACGTAACCTCGGCACTGGGAGAAACGTTACGGGATATGGAGGGGAGGCTGCCGGAGGAAGGAAAGCAACTGCTGAGAGACCGGCGCGCCAACCCTCGCCCCGGCCACTTGCAGCTGGCCCTCTCACGCGCCATCAACAAGGCTAGAGCGCTGAACCTCTTGGATGACACCCTCATAGACCGCCCTGGGACGGACAACGGCCACGGCGTCAGGCTGGTAAGCCTGAGGGGAACCGGAGCAGGGGATTGGCTGAATGCCACACCGACTAGGCCAGACCTCACCCTATCGGCTGGACAATTTGGCACGGCGCTGGCCTTCCGCCTAGGGCTGCCCCAGGCAGTGGCAGCAAAGTGTCCATGCGACGGGGACAGGTCAGACATCACGGACCCTAGCCTGCCTAACCACCTGCTACGCTGTGGGACCGGGGGGGATAGGACACGGACCCACAACGCGCTGGTCTACTGCTGCATCCGTATGGCTCGAGAGGCAGGCTACACCACGTCGGGGGAGACGACAGCATTCTCAGTCCCCTCCAACGTGATCAAGGCAGACCTCTCCCTGCGGGATCAGGAGTCGGGGGGCACCTGGATAGGCGATGTCACCCTCACCGACCCCGTACTGCTCCGCCGAGACCTCACAGTGCGGAAGAAGCCAGGCTGGGCAGCTAGGGAAGCGGCAAGGACCAAGGAACTCCTGTACGAGGAGCGGCCAGACTGGGTAGGCTTCTATGGCCTTGCCGCTGAGACGTACGGGGCGCTGGCCCCACAGACGGCAGAGTTCCTACAGATGCTGGCGACACATGCGGCGAAGGCAAAATTCAGGGCTGCGAAACCAACCAAAACTGCAGCCAAACTCTACTGCCACTACCGCCAGCACTGGTCGGTCATGCAGCAGCGTTGCCAAGCAACAACCCTGCTGGCCAAGTCCAACCAGGCCGCAGAAGAAGCCTACCCACAGTCCATGGCTGACCCCTGGGCCCCACGCCTAGGGGATCTGGCCCAGACCCTCGAGGATGAGCTGGACGGGGCAGAGGACTGGGGGACATAGAGGGCTGGGGGAGAAGGAAAGGGAGAGGGAGAGACACGGGCTGGAAGAGGTGGCGACAGGGGAGGGACATGGCACGAGGGTCAGGCTTGGAGCCAGGGGCGGGTCAAAGGTGTCAACATATATTTTATATGTGTTGTTTTGGTTAGTCTAGGTGTTACATTTCTACTTCCTTGCATGATTAGGGTTTGCTATATCTAGGGTTGTACTTCACATTTTCTATCAATTCATTCTTATCGTAACATGGTATCAGAGCTAGTTTCCCTTAGGCGATTTTTCCCCTAGGCGATGCTCTGGGGACACAGCACGACTGAGGGGAGAACGACGAGTCCACTGGGACGAGGAAAGGGACTCAACAAGGGGAACAGGGGGGGACGGTAGGGGACCACGAACAAAGCATGCAGGTGCTGGGCGTGGAGGTCACTCCCGTGGAGGACACGGCAGCCTCGAGTCGGCGGCCTCGCCCCTCGTCACCCCCCGGCTTCCCGGTCGTCCCGCAGTTCCCTCCTCGTTCTCCTCTGCGGCCGGTTGCTGTGGAGCTTGGGGGTGCTCCTACGGGAGGTACTGGAGGCCCCGGGGGTGTCGCTAGTGGAGGTGCAGGTTCTGGGAGTGCTGGAGCTGGAGGCACTGGCACTGTGGCGCTTACACCTCGCACTGTACGTTTCCTGACCCGTGAGCAGCGTCTCCTCTGGTTGGAGAGGGAGGAGTGTGAGCGGTTTGAGAGGGCACAGCAGCAGCAGCAGCAGCAGCAGCAGCAGCAGCAGCACCAGCAGCGGCAGCAGGAGCAGCAGCAGCAGCAGCTACAGCAGCAGGAGAGAGTAGAGGAGGAGTCACAGCAGCAGCACGAGAGGGAAGAGCAGGAGTCCCGGTCGCAGCAGCGAGTGCAGCTGCAGCCGCAGCAGGAGAGGGTAGAGGAGGAGTCACAGCCGCACCAGGAGAGGGTAGAGCAGGAGTACAGCCCGCAGCAGCAGGTGCAGTTACAGACCCAGCAGGAGAGAGTACAGGAGGAGTCACGACCTCAGCAGGAGAGGGTAGCGCAGGAGTCCCGCTCGCAGCAGCGGGTGCAGCTGCAGTCGCAGCAGGAGAGGGCAGAGGCGGAGCCACAGGAGCAGCAGCAGGGGCCGGTGCCGTCGCAGCAGACAACAGAGGAGGCGGAGCAGCACCGACTGCGACTACACGACCTCCCCGACCCAGCACCTGCACGCTTTGTTCGTGGTCCCCTACCATCCCCCCCTGTTCCCCCTGTTGAGTCCCTTTCCTCGTCCCAGTGGACTCGTCGTTCTCCCCTCAGACGTGCTGTGTCCCCAGAGCGTCGTCGGTCCCGTTACCGTGCAGACGGTCCGTTCCACCTTGTTCTTCGCTCTCGTGTTCCACCTCCTCCTGTCCTTCCACAGCCCCCTGAGTCGTTCCTCACTGTGCTGCACGACCCGTTGTCCGACTACCTCCGTGCCTCCCGTCCTGTCGTCTCCCGTGTTTTGTCCGCGTTGGTCACTCACCCGACTGCACCTCTGTCGTCTGTTTCGGCACTTGTTACCACTTTCGCTGGCTTTACCTCTTCCCACCGCCTTGACTACGCCGCTCACTTTCTCTGGGGGTGCTCCTGTTTTTCCCCTAGAGGTCCTCGAGGACAGGCAGTTCGAGCTTGGTTTTCTTGCGGCCGCTGTTCCTCATCTCTGCGCCATGTTGCTTGCCCCTGAGGGGGATCCAGACGCTCTTGACATCCCGATCCCTCGCACTCACGCCGAGGCGGTCTCGGGACCCTGGGCTTCGTACTGGATAGCAGCTGAGGAGGCAGAGATGGCATCTTATAGGTCCACAGGCACTTACGTCGACGCAGTCCCACCACCTGGGACGAACGTCGTCAGTGGCCGATGGCTCTACATGGTGAAGCGGCCGCCTGGATCACCACCTGTGTTCAAGGCGCGCTATGTGGCGAGAGGCTTCAGTCTGCGAGAGGGGGTGGACTTCTTCCAGACCTTCGCTCCCACCCCGAAGATGAGTACTCTTCGGGTGTTGCTGCATATTGCAGCCCAGCCCGACTACGAGTTGCACTCCTTGGACTTCTCCACCGCGTTCCTTCAGGGGAGCCTGCACGAGCAGATCTGGCTGCGTCGCCCGCCTGGCTTCACTGGCTCTTTCCCACCTGGGACCCAGTGGCAGCTGCGTCGACCAGTCTACGGTCTGCGTCAGGCTCCACGTGAGTGGCACGACACACTTCGCTCGACCCTTGCAGTGCTTGAATTCTTTCCGTCGTCTGCTGACCCGTCACTGTTCGTTCGCCGTGGCTTGACCCCGTTCTTTGTCCTGGTCTACGTCGACGACCTGGTGTTCGCCACTCCCGACCCACGCGTGCTGGCCTCCGTGAAGGAGGAACTGCAGAGGAGACACAGTTGTACTGACCTTGGTGAGCTGCAGCACTACCTTGGCCTGCAGATCACCAGGGACAGGGCAGCTCGCACCATTACGCTGACTCAGTCGCATGTGGTCGAACAGATCCTCGCGCGGTTTCGCTTCCCGTTCTCCAAGGTACAGCTCACCCCTCTTGGTGTGGATCATGGGCTCACGGCTCCACCTTTGGACGAGTCATTTGATTCCAGTGGTCCATATCCTGAGCTGGTGGGTTGTCTCATGTACCTGATGACCTGTACTCGCCCAGACCTAGCTTACCCTCTTAGCGTCCTTGTGCGCTTTGTTGCGCCTGGGAGACACCGATCGTCCCATTGGTACGCTGCTAAGTGGGTGGCGAAGTATGTGGCGAGTACATCAGGCATTGGACTTGTCCTTGGAGGGAAGCAGCCAGTTACACTTACAGGTTACTCGGACTCGTCGTGGGCCGACGACGCGGAGACGCGTCGGTCTACACAGGGGTACTCCTTTAGCCTCGGGGCAGGTGCTGTTTCGTGGCGGTCGACTCGGGCGTCGTCCGTCGCCGGTTCCAGCTGTGAGGCAGAGGTGTACGCTGCGGCCATGGCCGCTCAGGAGCTTCGCTGGCTGTCTTTCCTTCTCACCGACCTTGGTGAGCGGCCTCGCTCTCCCCCAGTCTTGTTCGTCGACAACAGGTCTGCCGTCCTGTTGTGTGAGGAGCCCCGACTGGTTGGGAAGGCGAAGCACATCCAGCTTCGTTATTTCCTTCTGCGTGAGTTGCAGCAGCGTGGTCAGGCACTCGTACGACGTGTGGTCTCTGAGTCCAACACTGCAGATATCTTCACCAAGGCGTTGCCGCCTTGTGATCACCAGCGTTTCTGCACCCAGCTTGGCCTTGTGCGGGCCCGTCCTCACTTGCTTACGTAGATGCTTTGTCCTTATTGTCTTGTATTCTTGCATCTCAATATATTTGCTATATACCTGCATGTGAACTGGCCTTGTGGCTCTTTTGCTTGCTCTCGGACTGTGTGGTGACTTTGAGCTCCACCCTGAGATTTGTCTTGTTCTTGTGGACTGGTCTTGTGACCCTTGCTTGTTCTTGTTCTTGCTGACTGGTCATGTGACCCTTGCTTGCTCTCAGACTGTGTGTGTCCTTGAGACCCACCCTGAGATATGTGTTGTCTTTCCACGGGGTTACCGTCACCTAGACTATGGGGGTGTGTCAACATATATTTTATATGTGTTGTTTTGGTTAGTCTAGGTGTTACATTTCTACTTCCTTGCATGATTAGGGTTTGCTATATCTAGGGTTGTACTTCACATTTTCTATCAATTCATTCTTATCGTAACAAAAGGTAGGGGGCTGGACTAGTCGCCAGGATGTTCTTCGGGGGGGGCAAAGGGCGGAATCACTTGGGTGCTTGTTTGCACGTGGGATTCCTTGAATACTTGTGTGTTTGCTGGCCTATCCGCTCGTCTGCTTGCTCACAGGCTTGCCTGCTCCCTCATCGGCCTACATGGCGGCCTGCTTGCTAGTTGACCCTCTGCTGCTAGGTGGTTGCCTCGTCCGCCGGATACTGTGCTATCTCTGCAGGAATATCAGTCTGGAAGCTGGTAGTAGACCCCCTTGCATGCCTAGAACCATCTAGCACCTGCCCTTACCATGCTTGTATCCTTATAAACCCATCAATGAAGGACTGCTTGAGAGAGAGAGAGAGAGAGAGAGAGAGAGAGAGAGAGAGAGAGAGAGAGAGAGAGAGAGAGAGAGAGAGAGAGAGATGGGAATCATTGATCCCATTTCCGAAGCCCCAGCCGCGTACCTGGCCTCGACTGCAGCGGCGCACATTCTACTGCAGCAGCTGAACCTGCCGGCGGACTACCTACTTCGCAGGGCCGGAGAAATACTTTCCCCGACTTGGACCCCACCTCCCCCCTGGGTGAACCCGCTGTCCCCGCTCGAGGCGAGGCTCCCAGCACAGGCAGCAGCGGTTCTACACAGCTACAAGGAGAACCCCACGGGTATGGGCAACCTGCAGCTGGGGCTCTCCAAGGCCATCAATCACACGCGGGCGGAGGAGCTGCTGGCAGATACGGTAACTGATAGGCCGGGGGTGGACCGGGGCCATGCCACTCGGCTCATCAGCCTGAAAGGAGTGGGAGCAGGCGACTGGCTCCATGCAGTGCCCACGAGGGCTGACCTCTCAATATCCCCTGGTCAGTTCTCCTTGGCACTAGGCTTGCGCCTTGGCATGGAACTACCGGTAGCGGAGGTTTGCCCCTGCAAGAGATCCAACTCCAAGATAGCCGACAAGAGTCTGCCGAACCACCGGCTACGGTGTGCCGATGGTGGGGATGCTGTGCGCACCCACAATGCGCTGGCCTTCGCTGCTCTTCGCATGGTGCAGGAAGCCGGGTACAAAACCTTTCACGAGACCACCGCATTCTCTCCCCCTGTCCAGAACAAGCGTGCTGACCTAGCCGTCAGGGACCAAGAGTCGGGAGAGACTTGGGCAACGGACGTGACTGTGACTGACCCGGTTCTACAGAGGAGGGATGTGAGGGCACGGAAGCCGCCGGGATGGGCAGCTGAGGAAGCATCGCAGGCCAAGCACAGGCTCTACGAGGGGCGGCCTGGCTATGTGGGTTTCTTCGGCCTAGCGGTTGAGACCTATGGGGCGTTGGCGACTGACACCCAACAGTTCCTCCGTATGTTGGCTACTTATGCGGCGAAGAAGAAGTACCGCCAGGGGCGCCTCACCACCACAGCTGCCCGCCTCAATGCACACTACAGGCAGCGGTGGTCGGTGATGCTCCAACGCAGCCAGGCGACGTCCCTCCTCTCCAAGTCAAACCGGGCAGCGGAAGCGGCATTCCCTCAGGCTGCAGCGGACCCTTGGGCACCCCGGCTAGGAGACCTTTGGCAGGTGCAGGTGGATGAGTATGAGGAGCGCCAGGCTCCAGCTAGAGCGGCTTGAGGGGCTGGGGAGAAGGGAACTCGGTGACACGGGGGGGCTGGGAAATGAATACAAAGTTTTGGGAGGCTTCAGGGGGGGACAGGGAAATGGGAGGTGTCTCAGGGAAGGTGCGAGGAAGCTGCGGGGTGATGAAGGATAAGGGGAGGTCTTATGATAGGGGAGGAACAAGGGATAGGTGGAATATGGAGTTCTTGGAGACTTGTGCTGCTGTGGACCGGGCTGCTCTGAGAGCTAGGTGATCTTTGTGTTTTGGCTGGATGGGCTTGCTCAGTTTACTTGTTATTTCTAGCTTCCTGGTCGCTTCCATGTAGACAAGCTAGTCACCACCACTTGCCATGCCTGTACCTTGTGACCCATATCAATACATGACTACTTGAGAGAGAGAGAGAGAGAGAGAGAGAGAGAGAGAGAGAGAGAGAGAGAGAGAGAGAGAGAGAGAGGGAGAGAGAGAGAGAGAGAGAGAGAGAGAGAGAGAGAAGCACCTAGTGACTTAGCCTCTCAAGCCTCCCCTAGCCCCCCTAGCCTCCCTAGTTCTAGTATAAAGGCCTCAGCAGGCCTTGTGGCCTCTTCATTATTCAGTTTCTGGTTGGTTTTCTCTCCTAACCGAGCGGGGGAGAGAGGAGAGAGAGAGAGAGAGAAGCACCTAGTGACTTAGCCTCTCAAGCCTCCCCTAGCCCCCCTAGCCTCCCTAGTTCTAGTATAAAGGCCTCAGCAGGCCTTGTGGCCTCTTCATTATTCAGTTTCTGGTTGGGTTTCTCTCCTAACCGAGCGGCTCGCGCCGGCCGCCTTCGGCGGCCAACGCTCGACAGCGCGGCCTTCGGCCGCGCGCTTGGGACGGCAAGTGTCAACACACACAAACGGCTATATTCAGTGGCATACATGCAATGACGAGTTCATCTGCCTAAGAAGCACACGAAACAACAATGGAGCAGGAGGGGGAGAGCTCTAGAATTGATCAGCATCAAGAACAGCAAGGAGCCCCGTCAGAGAGCGGTGGAGCTCCCGCACCACCGCCGTGCTTGCGCCGATCACATCGGCTGCAGTCCCAGCGCGCAAAAAGCGCCTCAAGCCTCGTACAGCTGTCCCCAGCTGTCCAACGCCCGCAACTCCACCCCTCGCGGGCGCAGCCAACACGGGTGCCAGGAGCTCCGCGAGCCAATCCGCGGCGTCAAGACACTCGTCCCGGGAACCGCCAACCAGAGTGTTCCCAAGGGAGAGACCCGCGTGACCGTGCATCTGGATTAGATGAACAGCCCGCAAACCCTCGGCCAGGCGCCACAGCTGCCCAAGGGTCGCCTCCGGAACCTCTGCCACGCGGGAAGAACCCGCATACGTCTGAAACAACTGTGCGCCAGCAGCACGAAAAGCAGAGTCACAGGGCAGAAGGGACGGATAGGGAGCAGGGGGAGCAGGAGGCAGAGGAGCAACCGCCGCTGGTGCAGCCACAGGAAACGCAACAGGAGGAGGAGCGGCGGTTGCACAAGGGAGCTGCTGGTTCGCCTGCAGGGCCCTCTCCTCGTGCATCGCAGCTGTTACAACCCGCTGCAAGTCCGCCATCGTCACCGGCCCATCAAACGAGCCACCACGTCCGCGACCGTAACCTCCCCTCCAGCCCCCGCGCCCACCTCGTCGCGCGTGCCAGTTCCCGCCCGATGAGCGGCGCTGAGGAGACTCCTGCCGAGGCCGCGAGGACTCCCGCTCATCGCACGGGGAGGGCGAATGGGGTCGTGACGGGCGGCGATCGGGAGACTGCAGACGACACTGCTGCCCAGGCGTCGCCAGCGGAGGCGCGGCAGGCGCCGACTGAACAGCCTCGGCAGGCACCACCGCCGGGGCCGGGCAGCCAGTGGTGGCGGACACCGCCGCTAGCACCAAGTCGCCGCCAAGAGCAGCAGGGGCAGCGGCGTTCAAAGGGGCGGCAGGAACAGGGGCAACCAGTGGCACAACAGACGGACCAGGAGCCGCTTGCTCAGGCTCCGGGCGAACGGGAGCAAGAGGAGCGACCACGGCAGCCGGAGGAGCCGCAACGGCCGGAGGATCAGGATGGGCTGCCGCAGGGTCAGCAGTTGGCGATGACACGGCTTTCGGGGCAGGCGGCATTGGCGGCTTCGCCGCGACGTTTGCCGATGCATTCACCGGCGGTGACTTTTCGCGCACCACTGACGCAACGACAGCGTGCTCTGGCGACAGCTCGAGCCCACCAGCAATCACCATCGCGAGGAGGAAGGCGACGGGGCACGGGACGACGAGGAGGGAGCGGCGAAGGAGGAGGACCCGAAAATGCGTTTCAGGCGGCGGGGCGAACCGCTCTAACACTACTAGTCGCAAGCGCGAACGCGGAGAACGCGCAGGAAGCAGCTGGGAGAGTGGCTTTAACTGGCCAAGATGAGACTAATGGGCAAGAGGAAAGGGCGGACCCCTCTTATAGGGAGGAGCAGGGGATACATCACGACAGCAGCGATAGCGAAGGAGGAGAAGAGGAGAGGGAGAGAGAAGGACGAGGGAACGAAGTGCCAAGGCGTCCTGGGGTAACTGGGCAAAGAAACGAGGGTGAACCGCACGATGGCGATCGTACGGTTGGGAATCCAACCTTGCTGACCCAAGCAACATCGAGCCGCGCCCAGACAAATCGAGCCGCGCATCGCCAACCCAACGAGCCACAACAACCTCGCTATTTCTCACCAGACGAATTGGCGAGGCATCTTGACAGTTTCGCAGCAGTCGCAACTTGGGATATCGCACCTCTCTGCGACAGTCGTCAACCCCCGCTGTCACGCCGCCTACCGCCAAATCTGTGCCAGCTGTTCTCGCTGGCCCTGCTAAACCTGTCGCGAAACCCAAACTCCATTGCAGGCTGGCGACTGCTGCTGTTTCTCCCCCGCCTGATCCTTCGCCAACCCTCGCCAAAGCGCCCTGACTGGGCCAAAATTAAGGCCCGGCTTAGATCATTCCAACGTGGCGAATGGGAGCAGCTTTACACTGACGCCGCGGAAGCTGTCAACACCCCCCCACCACCACGTCACCAACCTGACGAGACCGGGGTCATCAGCAGAGCAGAAGGACTGGCAAAGCGCGGAAGTTTGCGTCGGGCCATACTGGCCCTTGAGTCAACGCCAGTATGCGCGCCTAGTCCACAGATTCTGACCGAGCTGTGCTGAAAACACCCGCCTGCTGGCAGCGAGCCCTTGACATGGCCAGCCAATGAGAATCCACAAAGCCTCACCATTTCATTCGCTGATTTCGCCAAGTTGCTGAGTCGCTACGAGAATGGCGTGGGGGCAGGCCCGTCTGGCACCACTTTCGAGCATCTGCGCGACGCGGCAGTTACAAATGGATCTGTCTGCACCCATCTGCACGCCCTCGTCAACACCCTGATGGGGGGAAAATTGCCCAGGCCTGTAGCAGAACTACTCACGTCATCGCGCCTGGTCGCACTTGCCAAGCCAGATGGCAGTACTCGCCCCATAGCAATTGGCGAGTGCCTCACTCGACTAGCAGCAAAGGCTGCTCTGACGGTCATGGGAGAAGCAGCGCGGAATTTCTTTCTGCCGCTGCAGTACGGAGTGGCCGTACCTGGTAGAGCTGAAGCGATCATTCACATGGCGCGAGCGTTCACCGACTCACGGCCAGATTCCCTGATTCTGCAAACGGACTTATCAAACGCCTTTAACAGCATCTCAAGACAGGCCATAGTAACCGCCCTACAGGACCCAGCCCTCTCGCCACTGCTACCCTTAGTCAAGTTAACCTACGGGCGACCGTCACATCTCTACCTAGACGCAGGCTTTGAAAGCGCCCCACTATGTAGTGCACGCGGGGTTCGTCAAGGGGACCCCTTAGGCCCGCTCCTTTTTGCAGCAGGTATCCACCCTGCGCTTCGAGCGACAGCTACAGTACACCCTGGTGTGTTGTGTCTCGCATACGCGGATGACGTCTCTTTCCTAGGGGAGCGAGCAGAAACAGTAGCAGCTTTCACCCATTTCACCAGCCAGCTAGCCAACTTAGGTCTAGAGCATAATCCGGCTAAGTGCGCGGCGTGGAGTAAATCTGAAATTCTGAATGAGGGGGAGCTGCCGCCAGGGTTGCCTTTCAGTCAGAATGGCGTCCGACTGCTGGGAAGTTTCTTAGGCACCACGGAAGGAGGCGCCACATTCTTAACAGAGCAGCTTCAAACAATGGCAAAACCGCTATCACTACTAGAACGTACGGACCCACAGATAGCTTCGCTACTGCTGACTCGATGCCATTCCCGCAGAGTAGCCTACCTCACAAGGACCACCCCGCTCAGCCTCCTGCCTGGTGACACATGGTCCCAATGGGGACGGGATCTGCTCGCCACGCTCTTGGCTGCATGTGGAATACGGTATCCGACGAGCGTGGGGGAACAAACGCGTGTCTGGGAGCAGGCTTCACTACCGACGTCCCTCGGGGGGATTGGCCTCACGGACCCCACAGAAGAAGGAGTTTCAGGTTTTCTCTCCAGCTTCACACAGGCGTCACTACTACTCAGCTCACTGCAGCTCGACCACGGGGATGTTTTGACCGCTGTAAAGGACCACATGCTCCTGCCACGGGTCACAACTACAGCCTTACATTCGTGGCTATCGGAGTGTGAAGCAGCACTGCCTCAAGAAGCGCGGGAAATTCTAGAGAAGGAGAGGCTACAACCAGAGGGGATTAGGCTGCAGCACGCCCTCTCAGTGCAGGTCCAGGGGGGAAGATATGCGAAGCAGGTCCAGGCGTCACGGCAGATGGCACCGAACCCGTTGTGTGGACACACCCAACGCCTCCTCTCACTGACCGGCTATGCAGCAGGGGATTGGCTGCTGGCTATCCCAATCGAGTCAACACGGCGGATTGGACCCGAGCACTTCGCCAATGCAGTCTGCTTTCGGTTGGGCCTACCTTTCGCAACACCGGCAAAGTGTGAGTGCCCAAAACACGTCGAGATCACAGACCCGCGGCTACCTAACCACATGTTCCGCTGCGGCACCGGAAAACACAGGATCAACACGCATAACGAGCTTCGGGATGCCTGCGTCAGCATGGCAGAGGATGCGGGCTTCATTGTTCACACTGAGTCCGCGGCCTACTGCCCAGTAGATGAACAGACGGCGGACTTAACAATGATGGACCGGAGCTCCGGGGCTGTCTATATTTGTGATGTAACAGTCACAGACCCGATTAGTACCCGGGATAAGACGGCTGCCAAGGGAAGGGGATGGGCAGCACGGGAGCAGGCGGATAAGAAGATCAAACACTATGAAAGCCGGCCTGACACGGTGGGCTTTTTCCCCCTTGCTGTTGAGACCTACGGGTGCCCGTGTGCGGAGATGCCCATGTTCCTGAAACTGCTGGCGGACTCTGCTGCTAGGCGTCACTTCAACGCCGAACCTAACTCATTTCATGCAGCCAGGTTCCTCCATCTTTTCAGGCAGAGGTGGTCCGTGGCGCTGCAGAGGGCCCAGTCAGTGGGGTTCCTCATGAAGACGTGTCAAGCCGCTATGGCAGAGCACCCACCTGTTGGGGGGATGCAGCATGAGCTCCACCTGGGTGATTGCCTCACCGTGATTGAACCTCTGGTGGAGGTTTAGGGAAAGATGACAAGAGTGTTGTTTAGGATGTGTGGTAGTAGGTTAGTATGCCCATAGGCTTGTCTAATCTCTGTCATTTTACTTGCATGCTTGTACCTTGCTGCAATATCAATACACGGACCATTAGAGAGAGAGAGAGGGTTAGCCTCTGCCCTCTGCCCTTAGCCTCTGCCCTCGGTTCCCTAGGTACTTAAGTGGCTGTTCTAGCTTCCTCTGCTCATTATTCATTTGTGGGCCGGAATTTTTCGCTCGCGCCGGCCGCCTTCGGGGGGACGACAAGCACACAAGGCGAAACAAGATCAACTACAGCACCGGGATACACGCATGGCACGAGCGGAGTACTACTAAAGGGGCGGTAATGGGGCAGCAAGAGAATGCAACAGGGGAAGAAGCCCCGGCGGATACTAGTATTGATCCGCGTCGTGAACTGCAAGTAGCCCAGTCTGAGAGCGGTGAAGCTCCCGCACCACCGCCGCGCTTGCGCCGATCACTTCGTCTCCAGTTCCTGCGCGCAGGACCCGCTTCAACCCACGGACAGCCGTCCCAAGCTGCCCAACGCCCGCAATTACACCCCGCGCGGGCGCAGCCAGCACGGGCGCCAGGAGCTCGGCGAGCCGATCCGCCGCATCAAGGCACTCGTCCCAAGGGCCTCCATCCAGGGAATTCCCCTGGAACAGAGCAGCATGACCGTACACCTGGATCAGGTGGACGGCACGAAGGGCCTCACAGAGACGCCACAACTGCGCCAGGCTCGCTTCCGGGACCTCAGCCATTCGAGGAGGCCCAGGCAAGGTCGGGAGGATCGGTGCATCGAGAGCAGACGGGGGAGCGGGATCAGCAGGCAGCAGAGGCGGAACTGTGCCGTCACCGCTCCTCCTGCCGCAGTCACAAATTCCAGTCCCGCCACTGGAGGAACCCACAGTAGCCGCAAGCGGCGATCACGTACGGCAGCAGAGGCGGCAGGAACGGAGGGAGCCTGAGCGGAGGCAAGAGGAACGGGAGCAACAACCTGACGTGACGGAGCGACAGTCACAGGAGGAACGGCCGGAGGAGGAGCCGCAGGAGCTGGAGCACGGCGCTGCACCGCCCTCTCCTCGCGTATCGCCGCTGAGACAACACGTTGCACGTCCGCGAGGGAGATCGGCTGAACATACGCCGAGCCGCCGCCATAACCGCGACCTCCCGCCCAACCCCCACGACCGCCATGTTGTGCATGCCAGTTCGCCTGCGAACGGTTGCGCCGGGGTGAATCACGATGGCGTCGTGATGACTCCCGCTCCTCACCAGGCGCAGGAGAATGCGGGCGAGAGGAGCGCTGACCCTGCTGCTGACCCACATGTGCAGCAACAAGCGCCGCCTGGACGGCCCCCGCTGGCGCCACATTCGGGCCCGGGCCGCCAGTGGTGGCGGACACCGCCATTGGCGACGAACCAACAGCCGCGTCGGGGGCAACAGGGACAGCAACGGCGGGCAGTGCCGCAGGGAGTTCGGGCACGCGCGGAGCAACCCCAGGTCCAGCAACTGCAGGCGGTCCCGCAGAATTTACAGGGACAGCCGGCGGACCAGGCGCAGAGGGCGCGGGACCCGCAAGAGGGCCCGCCTCAGCAACAGGGGCAGACGGGGCAGGCGGGAGAGGCGCCGGAGCCTCACACGACACGAGGTCCGGAGCCGGAGACGCAGAGTCAGCAGCGACCGCGGGCGCTGGCTTCGGGGCAGGTGGGATTGGTGGCTTCAATGCAGCATTCCCCGAGGCAGACATCGGCGGTAACCTTCCGCTCGCCGCTGACGCAGCGGCAGCGGGCTTTGGCGATGGCCACGTGTCGCGAGCAATCACCATCGCGAGGTGGGAGGAGACGAGGAGGAGGACGCCGCGAAGGACGCGGAGTTGAAGGCGGACCGGAGAACGCGTTCCAAGCGGCGGCAAGAAGGGCTTTAATACAACTCGACGAGAATATTGACCCAGAGGAGCAAAACGACCCGTCTTATAGAGAGGAAGCACAAGAGCCGAGCGAGGAGGAAGACGAGGAGGATGAGAGAGAACAGACGACGGGACGAAATGGAGGGAACCTGAGAGGATTGGGGGTGCAGGCAGGAGGCGCTCCGGGACCACAGGATGGGGATCCGACGGCCACTATTCCAAACCCGCCCTCAACTCGTACTTCGAGCCGCGGGCGCACAAATCGAGCAGCTAGGGGTCTGGCAAATGCGGCTTGCCAGTCCCAAAATCCGCGCTATTTTTCGCCGGAGGAGCTGGCGAGGCAGACGGAAAAATTTGCTGAAGTGGCAGGGTGGGACATTTCGCCACTCTGCGATAGTCGCCAACCTATTCTGTTACGACGGCTACCGCCAAATTTGTGCGAGATCTTCTCGCTCGCAGTGCTGACACCACTCTTGCACCTCTCGCGAAGCCCAGACTCCATCGCGGGTTGGAAGTTACTCTTATTTCTCCCGTGCCTGACTCTGCGACAGGGTTCGCCAAAACGACCTGATTGGCCCAAAATCAAGGCACGGCTCCGTGCTTTTCAACGCGGCGAGTGGCAGCAACTGTACTTGGACGCGGTTGAAGCAGTCAACACACCACCGCCACCACGTCATCAGCCTGACGACGTGGGCACCATCAGCAGAGCGGAGGGCCTGGCAAAGAAAGGGAGTCTGGGCCGGGCCGTGTTGGCGCTCGAGTCAACACCAGTCTGCACGCCCAGCCCAGAGACTCTGGAGGAGCTTCGCCGAAAGCATCCCGCAGCCGATCCCGAACCCCTGACCTGGCCTGACATCACCGAACCTCCCAACCTTGAAATTTCCTACGCGGATTTTTCGAAAATGCTCAGTCGATGCCAAAACGGCGTCGGGGCCGGCCCGAGTGGAATGACATTCGAACATCTTCGCGACTCGTCAGTAACCAATGCATCCGTCTCGACCCATCTGCACGCCTTAGTAAATACGATCCTGAAGGGGAAGCTGCCGCTGCCAGTTGCAGAGCTGCTCATATCATCACGTCTGATAGCTCTGGCCAAGCCAGAAGGTGGGGCCCGCCCAATAGCGATTGGAGAAAGCCTGACCCGCCTGGCTGCAAAAGCTGCGCTGGCAGCCCTGGGCGAAGCGGCGCGGGGTTATTTTCTCCCTCTTCAGTATGGTGTAGCTGTGCCAGGAGGGGCGGAGGCAATCATCCACACCGCTCGAGCATACACGGATGCACACCCCAACTGCCTCACGCTATAGACAGATATTTCCAATGCCTTCAACAGCATATCCAGACAAGCCATAATAACAGCTTTACAAGACCCGACACTCTCACCCCTACTGCCACTAGTCAAGCTGACATACGGCCACCCATCATCTCTATACCTAGACGCTAGCTTCAGTAGCGCACCACTGAGAAGTGAACGCGGAGTGCGACAAGGGGACCCCTTAGGTCCGCTCCTGTTCGCGGCTGGGATCCACCCCGCATTAAGAGCAACGGCAGCAGCACATCCCGGCGTCCTATGCCTGGCATACGCCGACGACGTCAGCTTCTTAGGCGAACACCTCGATACCGTAGCTGCCTTTTCACACTTCACGAGCCAATTATCCCAAGTAGGTCTGCGACACAACCCGGGGAAATGTGTCGCATGGAGCAAACACATGATAGACCAGGAAGTGCAGCTGCCGCCCGGGGTGCCGACTAGTACTGAAGGTGTCCGGCTTCTCGGTAGCTTCTTAGGAACACCAGATGGTGCCGCCTCCTTTCTGTCCGCGCAGCTCCAGTCGATGTCCAAACCGCTGCCACTGATAGAACGAATGGACCCGCAAGTCGCATCTCTCCTACTCACTCGCTGCATCTCACGCCGAGTAGCGTATCTCACTCGAACGACCCCTCTGCATCTTCTGGACAGGGACACCTGGTCCCAGTGGGGTAGGGACCTGCTGGCCACCCTCCTTATAGCGTGCGGCATTCGCTTACCAACGGACGAAGAAGAGCAGACCCGGGTTTGGGAGCAGTCGTCACTCCCTCCGTCGCTAGGGGGCATAGGACTCACAGACCCGACGGTGGAGGGCACATTTGGCTTCCTTGCCAGCTTTACGCAAGCATCCCTCCTCCTTAGTGCCCTGCTGATAGAGTCAGAAGGGGCTTTGACGGCGGCGAGGAATCACATGCGACTTCCGCGAGATAGCACCACCGCTCTGCACCGCTGGCTGACCGAATGCGAGAGAGCACTGCCGCAGGAGGCCAGGGACGTCCTAGATAAGGAAAGACTCGAACCTTCAGATTTAAAGCTGCAGCACGAGCTCGGGGTGAGAGTGCAGGGGAGGAGATATGCCAAACAGGTACAGGCAACACGGCGCATGCGACTGAACCCATTGTCAGGCCATACCCAACGATTTTTCTCTCTGACCGGCTACGACACGGGGGACTGGCTGACTGCAATCCCAATAGAACATACCCGAAGAGTAGGTCCCGAGCACTTCGCCAATGCCGTCCGCTTCAGACTGGGGCTTCCCTTCTCTACACCCAAAAACTGTGACTTCTCTAAGCATGTAGAGATCAAAGACCCACGGCTGCCGAACCACCTCTTCCGCTGCGGCACGGGCAAGCACAGAATCAACACCCACAATGAACTCAGGGATGCGTGTATTACGATGGCGCAGGATGCTGGCTTCATAGTTCACAGTGAATCAGCTGCATACTGCCCCATAGAAGAGCAGACCGCCGACTTCACCATGCGTGATAAGAGCTCGGGGGCAGTCTACGTCTGTGATGTCACCATCACGGATCCCATTAGCACTAGGGATCCCAATGCTACTAAGGGGAGGGGATGGGCAGCAAGGGAGCAGGCTGACAAGAAAATCAGCCACTACGCTAACCGGCCTGACACGGTCGGCTTCTTCCCTCTTGCAGTTGAAACTTACGGCTGCCCCTGTGCGGAAATCCCAAAATTTCTGAAGTTACTAGCGGATACAGCTGCTCGGCGTCACTTCAACGCCCAACCTACCTCTCACCATGCAGCTCGGTTCCTTCACCTCTTCAGGCAACGCTGGTCCGTGGCTCTGCAAAGAGCCCAGTCTGTGGGATACCTCATCAAGTCCTCTCAAGCGGCAGTCACTGAAAATCCACCCGTGGGGGGGGTGCAGTCCGAGCTTCACCTTGGGGACTGCTGTACCGTGCTAGAGCCTCTCATGGAGGTGTAGAGAGACACTTGTGCTCTGATTGTTAGCTTCTGTACTTGTTTGCCTCTAAATCCTAGTTATAGTTTGCATGAATGTACCCTTTGGTTATATCAATACACGGACCATTAGAGAGAGAGAGAGAGAGAGAGAGAGAGAGAGAGAGAGAGAGAGAGAGAGAGAGAGAGAGAGAGAGAGAGAGAGAGAGAGAGAGGACGGCAAGAGGCACCGACACAAGAAATACTAGCAAAGTATTACAAGCAATGTCCCTAGCTACATCATTCTAGGCAAACATGGCATCAACGGGGCAGTCGGAGCCCGCATCTACATGCGGTGAGCCCCAAGGGCGCGGAGAACGCCTGTCAGGGAGCGCCACAGCTCCCGGACCACTAGCGTGCTTGCGCCGATCGCCGCGGCTCCTGATCCTGCGCGCAGGTGTCTCCTCAAGCCCCGGACGGCTTCGTCAAGCTGTCCCGCAGCAGCAGCGCCACCCTCCGCGGGTGCAGCCAACACGGGCGCCAGCAGCACCGCGAGCTGGTCCGCCGCGTCCAGGCAAGGGTCACGTTGGCGAGCACGGAAGGTCTCAGGAGGGATCACAGGGAGAGACGAGTGGGCCAGCACCTGAATCAGCAACAGCGCGTGGAGACTGTCAGCAAGGCGGTGGAGCTGTCCGAGGGTCGCCTCGGGAACACGTGTCTGCGGAGGCTGGAGTGCCTCCGCCAGGAACTGGAACGGCTCGTCTGCACCAACTGGGAGAGCAAACGGTGCCGCCAACGAACCGCCACCAGCGGCTACAAATTCCACTCCCGCAACGGGCGGAACAGGCGGCAGATGAAGATGAGAGCCAGGAGCAGGTGCCGTTACCGCGGGAGAAGGAGCTGGCGGCGCTTGGATCTGAGGGGGAGGCGCGGCAACCGGCTGCAGATTCGGGGGGAGCGCAGCCGAACGAGGAGCCTCGTGGGCTGGCGATGCGCGCAGCGAACTACTCTGGCTCTGCGCTGCCCTCTCCTCACGAACAGCCCTTGACACTTCCCGCTGAAGATCCGCCATCGTCACAGGCGGACGATACCCCCCACCACCGCCGCGCCCGCGGGGACCCCTCCAGTCCCCCTGGCCGCCAGGGTGCGCAGGCCAGTGCGCCTGCTGCTGGTAACGCCGCGGTGAGTCACGCCGGCGGCAAGACGACCTACGCTCCTGCTGGGGCGCAGGGGAGTGAGGCCGAGACAGTCGACGGTCAGGTGACGGGAGGCGCGGCGGCTGAGCTGCCGAGGCCGCCGGCGCACCAGCTGGCGCCACAGCGGGCAAAACCAGCGGAGCCGGGGCGCCAGTGGTGGCGGACTCCGCCTTTGGCGACAAAGCAGACTCCGGAGCAGGCTCGGCGGGGGCAGAAACGGATGGCGCAACGGGAGCGCCAGGTACGGGAATCGGGGGATCAGCAACCGCACCAGCAAGCGCAGGTCCCGGTGGTGCAGAAGAATCAGCCGGCGGAGCAGGAGCAGCAGCCGGAAGGGGAGGAGCCGCAACAGGCGCGGACTGGACAAGGGCAGCCACAGCAGCAGGAGCATCGGGTACGAGGGGAAGAGGCATTTCAGAGGCTGCTGACGCGGGCTTCGGAGCTGGAGGGCGAGCGGGCTTCATCGCCATGGTCGCCCCTTCAGGTTCCGACGGGGGCTTGGCGACCACAGCCGACCAGGAGTCAGCGAGCTCTGGCGACGGCTCGTCAGCACCAGCAATCACCATCGCGAGAGCAAAGAAACCGCGAAGCGAGGAGACAGACGACTAGCGGGATGGCGGGCGGTCCGGAGAACGGTTACCAGGCAGCGGGAAGAAGGGCTTTAACAGCGCTGGAGAGAGCTACTGAAGCCGATGAAAATGCAGACCCTACTTATAGTGCAGAGACTCTCCCAGCTAGCGAAGAAAGCGAAGGGGAGGGAGAAGACAGGATGCGGGAGACGGTGGGGGGAGTAAGAGAGGAGCCGGGGCAACGCCACGAAGGAGACCAGGGACCGTCGGATGTCGATCGAACGGCCGTAAATCCAACCGGGGCCTCGACCAGGGGGACGAGCCGCGCACAACGAAATCGAACCGTGAATGCAAATTCAGCGGCCCGGCAGACCCCTCCAAACCCCCGCTACTTTTCAGCTGACGAACTGGCGAAGCGAGCGGACTTGTTCGCTGACATCGCGAACTGGGAAATTTCAGCACTAAGCGACAGTCGACAACCTACGCTGGCACGGCGTTTACCGCCCAATCTGTGCCAGCTGTTCTCGCTGGCAATATTGACCCCGTTACTCCATCTGTCGCGAAACCCGGAATCCGAAGAGGGTTGGCGCCTGCTGCTTTTTCTCCCACGACTGACACTGCGCCAAACCTCATCCCGACGCCCGAACTGGCCCCAGGTCAAGGCTCGGCTCCGAGCCTTCCAGCGTGGCGAATGGGAGCAGCTGTACCAAGAAGCAGTCGAGGCAGTCAACACCCCTTCACCGCCTCGTCACCAGCCCGACGCGACTGGAGTCCTCAGCCGAGCTGAGGGCCTGGCGAAACGTGGCAGTCTCCGACGCGCCGTGTTGGCGTTGGAGTCAACTCCAGTCTGTACACCCAGTCCAGAAATCCTGGACGAACTTCGCCAAAAACACCCGCCCGCTGTACACGCGACGACAACTTGGCCTGACACACGTGGGTCAAAGTTGACCATCACCCACACTGAATTTGCTAAAATGCTGGGAAGATGCGACAACGGAGTGGGGGCCGGGCCGTCTGGCACGACATTCGAGCATCTGCGCGACGCGGCAGTCACCAACGCATTGGTCAGCACCCATCTGCACGCCTTGGTTAATACTGTGCTGGGAGGAAATTTACCATGCGCGGTGGCAGACCTGCTGACGGCGTCACGGCTCATTGCACTGGCCAAACCGGGAGGAGGCGCCCGGCCAATCGCAATCGGCGAATGCCTGACCAGGCTCGCTGCCAAGGCTGCCCTGACAGTCATGGGAGAATCTGCCCGCGAATATTTTCTTCCACTTCAATACGGTGTGGCCGTGCCAGGGGGGGCGGAGGCGGTCATCCACGCTGCCCGGGCATTTTTGGACGCCCGTCCCAACAGTCTGGTACTGCAAACGGACATCTCCAACGCATTCAACAGTATTTCACGACAAGCCATCGCCAGTACGTTACACGACCCCAGCCTTTCGCCACTGCTCCCGTTAGTCAAACTAACCTACGGTAACCCGTCGCGGCTGTACCTGGATGCAAACTTCAACAGCGAACCCCTGAAAAGCGAACGCGGGGTTCGCCAGGGCGACCCACTTGGACCACTACTGTTCGCGGCGGGAATACACCCCACACTTCGAGAAACAGCCGAGGCACATCCGGATGTACTCTGCCTGGCTTACGCGGATGACGTCACTTTCCTTGGGGAAAGTGCTCGAACAGTTGCAGCTTTTACGTTCTTCACAGACAAACTGGCATGCCTGGGACTGAGGCACAGCCCACATAAGTGCGCGGCCTGGAGCTCGCACACGGTTGATCAGACAGAACTTCCGCTGGGAGTGCCGTATTCAGCAGATGGGGTGCGACTCCTGGGCAGCTACCTGGGGCCCGACTCTGGGGCGGCCAGATTTTTATCCGGACAGCTAGAAGAGATGGCGAAGCCGCTGCCACTCCTGGAACAAGCTGACCCCCAGGTAGCCTCGCTCTTAGTCACGCGCTGCATCTCTAGGCGCGTGGCTTACCTCATTAGAACGACGCCACTCCACCTACTCCCACGAGACAGCTGGAGTCAGTGGGGACAAGACTTGCTGACGGCGCTGCTGGTATCATGTGGTATCCGGGTTCCAACGGGCAGAGCCGAACAAGCGCGCGTCTGGGCGCAGGCTTCCCTACCTCCGTCACTAGGTGGCATCGGCATCACGGATCCCTTAGTAGAAGGGGTATACGGATTTACGGCGAGCTTTCTCCAGGCTGCACTCTTCCTCTCCTCCCTCGAGCTAGACCCGGAGAATGCGTTGACTCAGGCGAGGAACCACATGCTCTTGCCGCGGGACGATACAACGCCGCTGCACACATGGCTTACTGAGTGCGAAGCGACGTTGCCAGGAGACGCGAGGGAGATTCTAGAGAAGGAGCGGCTGTCCCCCTCGGACATAAGGCTCCAGCATGTGCTCGGCTTGAAGGTCCACGGTAGCAGATATGCCGTGCAGGTCCAGTGCACGAGGAACATGAGGCCGAACCCCCTCTCAGGCCATACGCAGCGGCTGTTCTCCCTGACAGGTTACGGAACCGGTGACTGGCTGACCGCTATCCCCATTGCCCCAAACAGACGTATAGGACCCGTGCACTACGCCAACGCCGTGCGCTTTCGGCTTGGCCTCCCGTTCTCGACGCCGAAGAAGTGCGACTGCTCTGAACACACAGAAATCACTGACCCCCGCCTCCCGAATCATCTCCTTCGCTGCGGCACAGGAAAGCACCGCATCAACACCCACAACGAACTGCGGGATGCATGCATCAGCATGGCGCAGGACGCGGGGTTTATCGTGCACAGCGAGTCGGCCGCCCACTACCCCATCGACGAACAGACTGCCGATTTCACTATGACCGATAGGAGCAGTGGGGCGGTCTATGTGTGCGACGTCACCATCACTGACCCCATCAGCACAAGGGATCCCGAGGCGCTGAAAGGAAGGGGATGGGCGGCATGGGAGCAGGCTGACAAAAAGATACAGCATTACGCCAGCAGGCCAGAGACGGTTAGCTTCTTCCCTCTGGCCGTGGAAACCTACGGCTGTCCCTGCGCCGAGGTACCGGTCTTCCTGAAACTTTTAGCAGACACAGCGGCTCGGCGCCACTTCAACGCCGACTCAAAATCCTACTATGCCGCCAAGTTTCTGCATCAGTTTCGTCAGAGATGGTCGGTGGCCCTTCAAAGGGCCCAATCCGTGGGCCTCCTTATCAAGTTGGGTGAGGCAGCTGCAGCTGAGAACCCGCCTGTGGGCGGTATTGGGCATGAGCTGAACCTTGGAGATTGTTTTGCAGTGATAGAGCCCCTCCTGGAACTTTAGAAGGGGTATAGGGTAGGAAATGCCTTTGTGTTTTGTTTTCCTTGCCTCTATACCTTGCATGCTTGTACCTGGCTGCCATATCAATACAAGGACCATTAGAGAGAGAGAGAGAGAGAGAGAGAGAGAGAGAGAGAGAGAGAGAGAGAGAGAGAGAGAGAGAGAGAGAGAGAGAGAGACTAGGGAACTAGTCCTTAGACTTCAGCAGCAGCCCTCTCTTCTCCTATGTGTAGCCTAGTGGTAGGAGCAGCTAGGCCACTCTCTCTCTTAGTGTAGCACAGCCCCACAGCCTATAGTGAGTACAGGTTCTTTCTTAAGCTCACAATCTGCAATCTGATCCTCATTAGTTGCTGGCGAGTCATCTCCCCAACCCAGCGGCTTCGGCGGCCGGCGCTCGACAGCGCGGCCTTCGGCCGCGTGTTAGGGGTGGCAAGGAGAAGGGGACCAAGCACTATAACAGCAAAGATTACAACGTTTAACATGCGACGCCGGCACAAGTACCCACCACAACACCCCCTGGCGTAACCACAACGCGCATGGGGAAGCCCAAGCCCAGGCCAAGCCCCACCAAGGCCGGGAAGGGGAAAGCAGAGCCTAATCGGCGAGGATCAAAGCCAGCCGTCCATCCAACCAGCGCAACAGCGCTGCGGCGACTGGTACAAGGTCGAGTGGGACACGTCGGACAGAAGAGGCCAACCGCCTCACAGCGGAAGGCCCAGGACCAGAACCCACCCCGGGGGAGCCGGTCTCGAGGCCCATCTGCGGGAAGCTCCCCATCATCCGCCGCGCCGCCGTCACTACAACAGCCCGCTCCCTCTTCAACAAAGGCGGGCAAGCAACACGCCCACGCACCAGCCCTGAATGCAGCTGATCAAGCACCGACGCCAGCAGCTCCAGGACAGCCCCCACGGTCGCAACGCGCTGCTCGACGCGAAAAAGCCGCTCGACAGGCGGGCAATCTCCCCACCGACTCCAGCGCTCATCTAGGGCGGCAGCAGAGGCAGCAGGGGCGACAGCCCGCTGGGGAGTCGACAACACCTCCCACGGTATCGGAATCTCACGCCCCCCAAGAAACAACTGGGGGAGAGGAGGCGGAGCTGAAGAAGCCGGCGGAACGGCCGCAGGGGCAGACGGAGCTGGCGGCAACGGGGAAGAAGGCGGCCGAGGAGCAGCCTGAAGAACAGGCGGGGACTGAGGCTGGAGCGGCGACGGTGAAGACGGCGGCACTTGAGCCTGCGAAAGTGAAAGAGGCGGCGGCGGGGAAGGCCCGGGCACCAACGAACGCGGAGGACGCGGGAGAGGCGGAGGAAGGAAGGGCTGACGGCGAGTGCGGCGGAACGACTGCTGCTGACGCGGACGCAGAAACACATGAGTGCGCCCAGGAGGGGAGTGATACACCGGCTGGCGCGAGCCACCACGCCGACCACGCCGACCAAGCCCACCATGCCGGCCGCGGGAAGACTGGGAAGAGGATCCGCGTCCAGCCAGCACCGCGAAGGCTCGGAGCAGGCCTGGCACCTGGTCCCCCGGGGCCTCTCCGGGGATGGCATCTGCAAGAGCAGAGGCCACAAGCCCAAGAGCATCGTCAGCCATCAGGGGGTACGACCGGCAGGGAGACCGAGAGGGGTGGAGGTGGAGGAGAACCGCAAGACGAACAGACGGCGACTCGACCACAACCACAGGCTGGAGCAACAGCAGCCGGGAACGACGCCCAGCCAGAAACGGAAGGCAGGGCGACTCGAAGCCGCGCGAGAGGAGGCAGAATCGCCTGGGGACCGCCGATCGGCGGACGAGCGATCGTGGGGCGAGCGCCGTGGATGCCGGCGGGGCGAACGGGCGCAACCCGCGGAGGGCGAGGAGGGAGCAACGGCGCAGGCAGGGGAGGAGCGCGTGGAGACCAAGGCAGGGGACGGGGAGGAAGAGGGGGGAGAGGGCCCGTCGTGGGCGGAGAACCAGCACTGGTTAGATCGGGGACGTGGCGGGAGCGACACGACCGTCCGGAAATTGAGCACGAGGTGGCGAATGAGGAGGGAAGCGCGGACAACAACGACAGCGGGAGTGAATTAAATCCTGACAACGAGCATGCTTCTGAGGACCTCTCACAGGGCGAGGGGGAGAGTGAAGAGAGATTTACCACGCGGGGTAGGGCGAGGGCCGGAGATGGCGGGAGAGTCAACACTGAGGAACCAATAGATGGCGCGGAACCAGCACCGCAGCCGGGGCCAAGCATACGTCAACCATCCGACTTGGCGGGTGACGCTGAACTTTGGCAACAGGTGGCATCATGGGACACGACAAAGCTCCAGCAAAGCAATCAGCCATTCCTAGTTCGACGGCTGCCACCTAAGCTACTGGAGAGCTACACCCAATGCTTACTGACCCCGCTCCTGAGAGTAACCAAATATCCCGACTGCCCAGGAGGTTGGAAAATGCTGCTGTTCCTGCCGAGGCTGACCCTGCGACCCTTGCCGGAGCCAGTGGAGGGGAGTCGGTGGGATGAAATCGAACACAGGTTACACCAATTCAGGCTCGGCAGGTGGGACACGCTCTACATCGAGGCATGTGTCATCCCCGACACAGGAGAACCGCTACGACATCAGCCTGACGATGTGGGCATTTGTGCTAGAGCAGAAGGGCTCGTAAAAAAAGGAAATATATCGAAAGCAGTTGCAACGTTACGCGTAACACCACTGGCCGACATATCGCCAGAGACCCTCGTAGCACTACGAGCGAAACATCCCACCGCGGAAACTTCAACCCCTGCTGTGGTTACGGGGTACGCCACTGCTTCACTGAGCATCAGCCAGGACGACCTCCGCGAACTGCTGGCGAAATGCCCGAATGGAGTAGGAGCAGGCCCATCAGGCACCTGCTTTGAACACCTAAAGGATCCCGCCCACACAAAGGAGGAGGCCCTAGTACTACTCACGCGCGTAGTTAATGGCCTGCTTGGAACACTCCAGACCCAGGAAATCCGCGACATGCTACTCCCATTATGCCTCATCGCTCTAGAAAAACCAGGAGGCGGGGTACGACCTATAGCCATTGGCGAAACCATACTCAGAATAGTGGCGAAAGTGGCGCTGCGCGAATTGGCGCCGAACATACGGGAATTTTTCCTGCCCGTGCAATACGGAGTGGCAGTCACGGGCGGCGCCGAATGCGTTATCCACACCGTCAGATCGCTCCTGAAGGACGACAGCAAACGCATCGCACTGCAGCTAGATATCGAGAATGCCTTCAACAGCGTAGAACGTTCCGCCTTCTTCACTGCACTCTCCCGGTCTAACCTGCACCCGCTCATACCCTTCGTCCGCACGCTCTATGACGGACCCTCCCGCCTGCTCGTCGACACACGCTTCGAGGCAGATCACATAGCGAGCACTAGGGGGGTGTGACAAGGAGACCCACTGGGCCCACTACTCTTCGCCGCGGCCATCCAGCCTACCCTACTCACTACGGCCACGCTCCTCCCAGAAGTGGCGGTTGTTGCCTACGCGGATGATATTACGATTGTAGGCCCACAGGAGGCAGCGTTCTTAGCATTCGACTCCATCACCCGCGGGCTAGCATCGTGCGGGCTAAAATGCAACATCGGGAAGTCTTCAGCATGGATACCCAACGGGATATAAGCCCAGGACGGCACGCCTCCAGAGGGGTTAGAGCTGAGCAGAGAAGGCATCCAGGTGCTGGGCAGCCCCATCGGTACAGAGGAATTATGCACCAACCAAGTTGTCGCAAAGCTCACTGACGCCTCTGCACCACTCCCCTTGGTCGCCCAGATGCACCCTCAGCACGCCCTGCTCATCAACTCACGAAGCATCAGCAGGAGGGTGTCCTACCTGCTGCGCACTACGCCATCACAGGCGCTGCCGAGAGAAAGCTGGAGGGGGTGGAGCGAAACTCTGCTGGAAGCGGCACTTACCTAGGCCAAATTACGGATGCCGAGGAGCAAGCTCGAACAGAGCTTGCTCTGGCGACAGGCAACACTCCCAATACGGCTTGGGGGGCTGGGCATCGTGGACCCAACCTCGGAGGCACCGGCAGCACACATTGCTTCAATCACAGCGGCACAACAACTGCTGCAGCAGATGAACATTGAGAAAGAGCACCTACTGAGCAGGCCAGCAACGCTGCTCTCTCACACTTGGAACCCGGAGCCACCGAACAGCAACCAGCTCACGGCACTGGAAGAGGAGCTCCCTGCAAGTGCGAGAGCGGCCCTGCAGGCCTTCAGAGAACGCCCACCAGGCGCTGGCAACCTGCAACTGCTTCTATCTAGGCACATCTGGGAGACAAGAGCGAGGGAGCTCGTGGCTGACACAATGATGGACAGGCCGGGGAAAGACAACGGGCACGCAGTGAGACTCATCGGCCTGCAGGGAATAGGGGCAGGAGATTGGCTGCACGCTGTGCCAACGAGGGCTGACCTTACATTATCCCCTGGTCAGCTCTCGATGGCGTTGGGCTTCCGTCTAGGCATGCAGCTGCCGGTTACAGTAAAGTGCCCTTGCAAGCGGACAAACTCGGACATCAGTGACACCTCGCTCCCGAATCACCTACTCAGATGTGCGGACGGAGGGGACGTGGTTCGAACGCATAACGCCCTGGTGTATGCAGCACTCAGGTTGGCGAGGGAGGCAGGTTTCTCGACTTTCCACGAAACCACCACCTTTTCCCCCCCGGTGCTGCGTAAGAGAGCAGATTTAGCAATCCAGGACCAGGAATCGGGTGAAACCTTTGTCACGGACGTGACCGTGACTGACCCAGTCCTACAGAGGCGCGACACTAGAGCACGGAAGCCGCCAGGGTGGGCGGCAAAGGAGGCATCCGAGAGCAAACATAGGCTCTACGAGGGTCGACCGGACTATGTTGGGTTTTTTGGGTTGGCGGTTGAGACATACGGGGCCTTGGCAGCTGATACGGTGCAGTTTTTGCGGTTGCTAGCAACCTCGGCAGCAAAGAAGAAGTACCGCCAAGGCAAACTAACCACCACGGGTGCACGGCTCACGGCACATTACAGGCAGCGGTGGTCCATAATGCTCCAGCGTAGCCAGGCAGTGTCCTTCCTCTCCAAGTCAAACCGAGCTGCCGAGGCGGCCTTCCCTCAGGGACCCACGGATCCGTGGGAGCCTAGCTTGGGCGACCTTTGGCAGGTGCTAGAGGATGAGGTGGAGGGGGTGATGAGGGAGTAGGGCAGCACGGGCTGGACAGGAGGGCAGCGGAACAGGAAGGACAGGGGTAAGGGCCGCAGGGAGGGAAGGTGATCGGGAGATGGGCTGGCTTGAGGGTACCGGGTCTGATTTGTCGAGAGTAGCAATCGCCTATGCCTACCGTGTATCTTGCAGTGCCATGATTGCATGCATATCTAGAGTAGACAAATGGCCTAGTCTTTACTCATGCCATGCTTGTACCTTTCTGATCCTATCAATGAAGGATCGCTTGAGAGAGAGAGAGAGAGAGAGAGAGAGAGAGAGAGAGAGAGAGAGAGAGAGAGAGAGAGAGAGAGAGAGGAGAGGAGAGGAAAGGAGAGAAGTACGAAGGAGGAGGTGAGAGAGGGATGAGGCGAGGAGTTGAGGGGGAGCCACCCGTGGCGAAACCCTCGTAGTAACCCCCTTTTACAAAGGGGGGAGGTGAGAGAGTGATGAGGAGAGGAGGTGGGGGGGAGCCAAGCGCGGCGAAACCCCTCTTAGTAACCCCAAATCCCCACACCCATTCAACCACCCCCCCTTAACCTCACCCCCCATAACAGCCGCCCCCTCGGACCGCACCCCGACCCCCCCTTCCCCCTTCCTACCTCAACACCCCTGCCCCACCCATGGTAGTCCCTGCAGCGGGGTCTCTGCTAGCGGTGTAGCTGCTGGCGGGGTCTCTGCTGGCAGGGTCTCTGCTGGCGGGAGTCTCTGCTGGCGAGGTCTCTACTGGTGGGGGTCTCTGCTGGCGGGGTCTCTGCTGGCGGGGGTCTCTGCTGGCGGGGTCTCTGCTGGCGGTGTCGCTGCTGGCGGGGTCTCTACTGGCGGTGTAGCTGCTGGCAGGGTCTCTGCTGGCGGTGTCGCTGCTGGCGGGGTCTCTGCTGGCGGTGGCGCTGCTGGCGGGGTCTCTCCTGGCGGTGGTAGCTGGTGGGTCCGACGGCGGGTCCATCGGCTCGCTTGCTTGCGGGCTCGCGGGTCTGTTAGCGAGCAGGCTGGCGGGCTCGTCGGCGGGTCCGACGGCGGGGTCGCAGGCGCATGGGCGAACGCGCTGGCGATTAAGCTGGCGGGCTGCTGGCGATTTGTTGGCGGGTCCACTGGTGTTCGCCATAGCGTTCGTCGCGGCCGTCGTGATGAACGCCGCGACGAGACAGGCGACGGAACGGCCGCGTGGGTAGCGCGCAAGCAACGAGCTGCAGCAGTGCAGCGCGAGGAAGGGGTGCAGGCGGAATGCGGGGCGACGGGTTAACGTATGACGGGCGATGCACTTCAGAAATGGATAGCTCGCGGGCGGCGGGCTGCAGCAGCAGATATCGCGCAGGCGACGGGCTGAAGGCAGGAAAGCCCTCACGAGATGCACTATGGGCCGCATAACGTGGCGCGCCATGGCGAGAGGCTAGCGGTGGGCCCATAAAAATCGGTCATTAGGAAGGAACCGCTCTATACCATGTCAAGAATCTAACGTAAGGTTTAGGGCCTAGGCTTAAGAGCCTAGGCCAACGTATGTCGAGAGAGTTGTGGCCAAGGTAAGTGAGAATGGTTGTGTTCACTATAGCACACAAGGTACATATAGCAAACTAGCAAAGGTGCACCACCAAACAAGCAAATATATAACTACACTAACACTAACTACAAACAGTTATATAAACTATGGTCTCAGAGAAGTGCCTGCAGCGACTATGCTGGCCTCAGCTGCAAGGAGGTGCTTCTCGAGCAGGTCGACAGTGAGGTCTGTGGAGTCAAGGGCGAGAAGGAGGTCCCTGATGCGCTAAGAGAATCGGGGAGGCGGGTGACGATGAAGTAGAGAGTGATGTAAATGGGGGGGGGGGGGGGGGCGGGGGTGGGGGGGGTTCTTGTCTAGAAACTTGGTTGGAAGCGCAGCGCGGTAGCGAGTGTCACTAGTGCGAAGGTGGGTGATGAGGTCGGCGACTGTGGCAAAGGCGGACAGCTCGGGGAACAGGTAGGGCAGTATAAGGCGGCCTAGAGCAGCAGTGGCAGGAGAGGAGTAATGAGCGACTACAGCGTCGTACAGGGCTCTAGCAGTCTTGTGCTGGCCAGCGCGTTCGGCTAACGGCAAGTGGTTGCGAATGGCTAGGCGAGCAGCAGCGTCACGGGTAAGCCACTGTGAGCGAGTCGCACTGTCAGCTGTGTCGGGAGGGGCGAGAGAGGCGCCGGACACGAGGTCAAACAAGGAAACGCCGTCTCTAGAATCGCTCAGTAAGTACAACTGTAGATCATCGAGCCACGCATCGAACTGGATCGGACGGCCCTCACGATCGAATATGAGGATGCTGAGAGTAGCCATCGCGGGCAGAGCAAGGTGGCGCGCGAGCAGCAGGGCAGCACGCAAGCTCTAGGGGCGCGCGCAGGGCAGGGTGGGGCGGCGCACGGCTAGGGCAGGGCGGCGCAACTGGCAAGGCAGGGCGGCGGCCAGCAGGGCGGCGTGTGGGCAGGGCAGGGCAGGGCGGCGGCCAGCAGGGCGGCGAGCGGGCAGGGCAGGGCAGGACGGCGGCCAGCAGGGCGGCGCGTAGGCAGGGCAGGGCAGGGCGGCGGCCAGCAGGGCGGCACGCAGGCAGGGCCGGCGGTGCGGCGGCGAGCGGCGCGCGGGCAGAGCAGGGCGGCGCGGCGGCGAGCGGCGCGCGGGCAGGGCAGGGTGGCGTGGCGGCGAGCAGCGCGCGGGCAGGGCAGGGTGGCGCCTCGGCGAGCGGCGCACGGGCAGGGCAGGGCAGGGCGTGCGCGGGCGGTGCGACGCAGGGCAGGGCGTGCGCGGGCGGCGCGACGCAGGGCAGGGCGTGCACGGGCGGCGCGACACAGGGGAGGGCAAGGCGTGCGCGGGCGGCGCGTCGCAGGGCAGGGCGTGCGCGGGGCGGTGCGACGCAGGGCAGGGCGCGCGCGGGCGGCGCAATGCGGGGCAGGGCAGGGGGGGCGCGGCGCTAGCAGGGCGGCGCGACAGGCAGGGCAAAGCAGCGCGCGGCCAGAGGGCGTCGCGCGGGCAGGGCAGGGCAGCGCGAGGCCAGCAGGGTGGCGCGACGGGTGGGGTAGCGCGCTACAGGCAGCGAACTATACGGTGGGCCCTAAAAAAACGGTCCTAGGACAGGACCTGCTCTGATACCATGTCAGAATGAATGCATTGAACAGAAATGTGGTACAAGTACTAACCCTAATTGGGTTGTACCCCGTATGGGCTACCCCACTACAGCCTACACAACAAACACAACATAATAGTTTGACAATATGTTTATAGAGTACATGGGGAATACGAAACGACCTAGACTAGCCATGTACTCTAAGGGGGTCGTTTCCTTATTGCAGCAAAATCCAACCGTGCGACTCCAGAATGTACGAACCTGCTTTTGCCATAATCCTCGCCACTGAAGCGACCCGATGCTTCTGCTCTGATGGTCCAGATGTCACAATGTAAATTTTACTAAAACAAAAAGTACAAACAAGATATATGCAAAACCTAACTCTAGTGCAAGTACAAAATAACATAAGGGAGAACACCTAGACTAGAACTACACAAACTATAGAATTATAGTTTGGCACACCCCCATACTTTAGGTGACGATAGTCCTGTAGAAACAACAAGAGCAACCAACGGTCACAAGACCAGTCCACAAGAACAAGACAAAACTCAGGGTGGAGCTCAAAGTCACCACACACTCCGAGAGCAAGCAAGGGGCCACAAGGCCAGTCCACATGCAGGTATATAGCAAATATATATAGATGCAAGAGTACAAGACATGCAGGACAAGGCATCTCTACGTAAGTAAGTGAGGACGGGCAGGCACAAGGCCAAGCTGGGTGCAGAAACGCTGGTGGTCACAAGGCGGCAACGCCTTGGTGAAGATATCTGCAGTGTTGGCCTCACAGACCACACGTACCACGTGGGCTTGGCCACGCTACTGCAACTCACGCAGAAGGAAGTAACGAAGTTGGATGTGCTTCGCCTTCCCAACCAGTCGGGGCTCCTCACACAACAGGACAGCAGACCTGTTGTCGGCGAACAAGACTGGGGGAGAGCGAGGCCGCTCACCAAGGTCGGTGAGAAGGAAAGACAGCCAGCGAAGCTCCTAAGCGGCCATGGCTGCAGCGTACACCTCTGCCTCACAGCTGGAACCGGCGACAGATGACGCCCGAGTCGACCGCCATGAAACAGCACCTGCCCCGAGGCTAAAGGAGTACCCCTATGTAGACCAACGCGTCTCCGCGTCGTCGGCCCACGACGAGTCCGAGTAACCTGTGAGTGTAACTGGCTGCTTCCCTCCAAGGACAAGTCCCATGCATGATGTACTCGCCACATACTTCGCCACCCTCTTAGCCGCGTACCAGTGGGAAGGTTGGTGTTTTCCAGGCGCAACAAAGCGTGCAAGGACGGTAAGAGGGTAAGCTAGGTCTGGGCAACTGCAGGTCATCAGCTACATGAGACAACCCACCAGCTCAGGATATGGACCGCTGGACTCAAATGGCTCGTCTGAATGTGGAGCCGTGAGCCCATGATCCACACCAAGAGGGGTGAGCTGTACCTTGGAGAACGGGAAGCGAAACCGCGTGAGGATATGCTCGACCATATGCGACTGAGTCAGCGTAGTGGTGCGAGCTGCCCTGTCCCTGGTGATCTGCAGGCCAAGGTAGTGCTGCAGCTCACCAAGGTCAGTGCAAGTGTGTCTCCTCTGCAGTTCCTCCTTCACGGAGGCCAGCGCGCGTCGGTCGGGAGCGGCGAACACTAGGTCGTCAACGTAGACCAGGACAAAGAACGGGGTCGAGCCACGGCGAATGAACAGTGACGGGTCAGCAGACGACGGAAAGAAGTCAAGAGCAGCAAGGGTCGAGCGAACTGTGTCGTGCCACTCACGTGGAGCCTGACGCAGGCCGTAGACTGGTCAACGCAGCTGCCACGGGGTCCCAGGTGGGAAAGAGCCAGTGAAGCCAGGCGGGCGACGCAGCGAGATCTGCTCGTGCAGGCTCACCTGAAGGAACGCAGTGGAAAAGTCCAAGGAGTGCAACTCGTAGTTGCGCTGGGCTGCAATATGCAGCAACACCCGAAGAGTACTCATCACCGGGGTGGGAGCGAAGGTCTGGAAGAAGTCCACCCCCTCTCACAGACTGAAGCCTCTCGCCACATAGCGCGCCTTGAACACAGGTGGTGATCCAGGCGGCCGCTTCACCTTGTAGAGCCATCGGCCACTGACGACGTTCGTCCCAGGTGGTGGGACTGCGTCGACGTAAGTGTCTGTGGACCTATAAGATGCCATCTCTGCCTCCTTAGCTGCTATCCAGTACGAAGCCCAGGGTCCCGAGACCGCCTCGGCGTGAGTGCGAGGGATCGGGATGTCAAGGGCGTCTGGATCCCCCTCAGGGGCAAGTAGCATGGCGCAACGATGAGGAACATCGGCCGCAAGGAAACCAAGCTCGAACTGCCTGTCCTCGAGGACCTCCAAGGGAAAGACAGGAGCACCCTCAGAGGACGGAGAACGAGCAGGGCCACTCACCAAGTGAGCGGCGTAGTCAAGGCGGTGGGAAGAGGCAAAGTCAGCGTCAGTGGTAACAAGCGCTGAGACAGACGACAGAGGTGCAGTCGGGTGAGTGACCAACGCGGACAAAACACGGGAGACGACAGGACGGGAGGCACGGAGGTAGTCGGACAACGGGTCGTGAAGCACAGTGAGGGACGACTCAGGGGGCTGTGGAAGGATAGGAGGAGGTGGAACACGAGAGCGAAGAACAAGGTGGAACGGACCGTCTGCACGGTAACGGGACCGACGACGCTCTGGGGACACAGCACGACTGAGGGGAGAACGACGAGTCCACTGGGATGAGGAAAGGGACTCAACAGGGGGAACAGGAGGGGACGGTAGGGGACCACGAACAAAGTGTGCATGTGCTGGGTCGGGGAGGTCGCGTAGTCGCAGTCGCTGCTGCTCCGCCTCCTCTGGTGTCTGCTGCGACGGTACCAGCCCCTGCTGCTGCTCCTGTGGCTCCGACTCTGCCCTCTCCTGCTGCGACTGCAGCTGCACCCGCTGCTGCGACCGGGACTCCTGTGCTACCCTCTCCTTCTGCGGCCGTGACTCCTCCTCTACTCTCTCCTGCTGGGTCTGTAACTGCACCTACTGCTGCGGGTGAGACTCCTGCTCTACCCCTCTCCTGGTGCGGCCGTGACTCCTCCTCTACCCTCTCCTGCTGCGGCTGTGACTCCTCCTCTACTCTCTCCTGCTGCTGCTGCTGCTGCTGCTGCCACCGCCGCTGCTG